TTAAACTTTTTATTTTGAACTAATTTTAGACTTACAGAAAAGTTGCAAAAATAGCACAGAGTTCCGTTATATCCTTCATCTAGCATCTTATATATAATTATAGTTATCAAAAACAAGAAATCAACATTGATACAATTCAGTTAAGTAAACCAGAGGCTATGTTCAAATTTCACCATTTCTTTTCGTTGTTATTTTTCCTTAGTCTTCAGTCTGTGACAGTTCCTCAGTGTTTACCTGTCATTTGCGGCCCTTTGTTGTCTTTGTGACCTTCACACTTTTGAAGAATACTGGTCAGTATTTTGGGTTTAGTGTTTTTTGTTTTTAATTTTTAAAAATAGAGATGTGGTCTTGCTACGTTGCCTAGGCTGGTCTCGAACTCCTGGGCTCAAGTGATCCTCTTGCCTTGGCTTCCCAAAGTGCTGGGATTACAGGCATGAGCCTCGGCACCTGGCCTGGCCAGTTATTTTGTAGAATGTTCCTCAGTTTAGATTTTTATATTTTATCATGATTGGAAAGATAAAAAGATTACGCATTTTTGGCAATAACAAACACCACAGAAATGCCACTGTGTCCTTCTCACGGCATATCTTTGGGTTCATGATGTCCTTGTCTTATTACTGGTGATGTTAACCTTAATCACTTTTTTAACATAGTATCTCCACTGTCAGATTACTATTTTTTCTTTGTAGTTAATAATTATCCTGGGAGAGATACTTTGAAACTATGTAAATATTCTGATTGTCCTCTAACTGGATTTTGTCTGCAACTACTAACGGTACTGTTTCCCTAATGGTGGTTTTGTATTTCCTTCTTTCCTTCAATGTTTACTAATTGGAATTCTTCTGTTAGAAGGAGTTGTCCCTTCTCCCCTACTTATTTATTCAGCAATATCAGTATGAACTCATTTTATTTTATGGGTTAAAGTCCAATACTATCACTATTCATTTTACTGCTCAAATTGCTCCAACCTGGATACCAGGAACTCCTTCAAGTTGGCTCCTTTTGACAAGGTCCCTAACTTTTTCTAGCATTTCCTTACTTTCAAGCACCACAGGATGTTTCAGGCTCATCTTGTATTTTCTCTGCCTCCGCACTGAAATCAGCCACTTCTCTAAAAAGTCCTAGTGCCTTTACAAACCAAGATCTGAATGCTCAGTGCTACTGGGGTATAACTATCAAGCCAACAATACGGACAACAAGTGTGTTTGTTTCCTTACTATATTCAACTCATTAGCTAGGAATCATTAGCATTACCTAGGAACTTGCTAAAAGAACAAATTCAGGCCCCAACCTAGACCCACTAGACCAGAATCTCTGAGAGCCTCTGGCAGGAGTTTATGCTTTAACAGATTTGCCAGATGACTCTGGTGTTCACTATAAAGTTTAAGGAGCATTGCTTTAAAGTTAGTTTTCCTTCATTATAAATCTTATATTTTTAATTTTAAAAAAGGAAAGCTTGCCGGGCGCAGTGACTCACGCTTGTAATCCCAGCACTTTGGGAGGCTGAGACGGGCATATCACGAGGTCAGGAGATCGAGACCATCCTGGCTAATACAGTGAAACCCCATCTCTACTAAAAATACCAAAAAATTAGCCGGGCATGGTGGCAGGTGCCTGTAGTCCCAGCTACTCAGGAGGCTGAGGCAGGAGAATGGCATGAACTTGGGAGGCAGAGGTTGCAGTGAGCCGAGATCATGCCACTGCACTCCAGCCTGGGTGACAGAGCGAGACTCCATCTCAAAAAAAAAAAAAAGGAAAACTTAGACCTAATAATTTGCCTTGTATATAAATTATATTTTTACTACAACTAATAAAACTATAGGTGAATGGCCTCATCTGTTAAGGAACTAAACATTTCCCTTATCTTCTTTATTTTCCTACAACATTTGTTAAAAATCTAGTGGTCAAAGTAGTTATAAAGGGGGGTAGGGGCGGGAGGCGCAGTGGCTCATGCCTTTAATCCCAGCCTTCTGGGAGCCAAGGTGAGAGAATCATGTCAGGCCAGGAGTTTGAGACCAGCCTGGTCAACACAGTGAGACCCTATCTCTACAAAAATACAAAACATAGCTGGGTATGGCAGTGTGTGCCTATCATCTCAGTTACTTGGGAGACTGAGGTGGGAGGATCACTTGAGCTCAGGAGTTCAAGTTTGCAGTAAGCCATGATAGTGCCACTATACTCCAGCCTGGGAAACAGAGCAAGCCCTTGTCTCAAAAAGAAAAGAAAAGAAAAGAAAAAAATAGTTATATACAGTACTTTAAAAAATACCGTAGTCAGGTATTGTGGCTCATGCCTATAATCCTAGGAAGTTCAAGCAGGAGAAGACTGCTTGAGCCCAAGGGTTCAGAGACCAGCCTAGACAACATATCAAGATCTTGTCTATACAAAAAATACAAAAATTAGTCAGGTATGGTGGTCTGTGCCTGTAGTCTCAGCTACTTGGAAGGCTGAGGTGGGAGGATTACTTGAGACTGGGAGGTCAAGGATGCAGTGAGCCGTGATTGTGCCACTGCACTCCAGCCTGGATAAGAGAGAGAGATCTTGTTTCAAAAAAGAAACAAACAAAAATCTTTCATACAAAGAATGTTATAAGTCAGCCTCCAGGATCAACTCCTATCTACAAATATGACCTAACATCCATAAAGCAAATCTACCAAACATAAAACCCAATATAGCACTATCCTCTAAGGTCAGACTGTCTAGGCCTGAATGACTGCTCCAGCGTCTGACTTGGTGTTTCTCTTTCTCTCTCTGACCTTGGTTTTCTTTGTTTTTTGTTTTGTTTTTGAGACGGAGTCTCACTCTGTCCCCCAGGCTGGAGTGCAATGGCGTGATCTCAGCTCACAGTAACCTCCGCCTCCTAGGGTCAAACGATTCTCCTGCCTCGAGCCTCCCGAGAAGCTGGGATTACAGGTGCCCGCCACCATGCCCAGCTAATTTCTTTGTATTTTTAGTAGAGATGGGGTCTCACCATGTTGGCCAGGCTGGTCTCAAACTCCTGACCTCAAGTGATCCACCCACCTTGGCCTCCCAAAGTGCTGGGACTACAGGCATGAGCCACTGTGCCCAGCCCCTGGCTAACTTTTTCCTTGGTTTTCTTAAATATAAAATGGAATAACAGTACTTAGATGAAAGAGGCAATGTGAAGATTAAATGAGATGAGCAATACTGACAACCACAGGGGCAGAAAAGAAGTCCTCAAAAACTGTAAATTGTTATTATTTGAACTACTACAGGCAAAACCAAACAGCTTCATTTAATTAAAACAAAATCCCAGAAGACACCAATGTTTTAAAATTTGACTTTTTCCAAAAATGTCATTACATTTACATGATATATACTCATGGTCAAGGGCTGAAGGAAAATCTCCAAAAACCAAACAATTTGATTTGTTGAGGTAGTGGAATTATAGGTGAATTTTCTTCCCAGAAATTTTGATTACCAAAATTATGTGCACAGTTCATAACTGAGTCATGGCACCAAAAAAAAAAAAAAATTCATGTGTCAGCTCCTTTAAATACTAGTAAAAAGGGAAACAGCCCACACAGTGACAAAATAGGAATTCAAACCCAGCTATGACTCCAAAGTCTATGCTCATTACCAATGTTAGGGACACCCTTCCTTATTCCCAAATGTTTGATTTCTGTGCAAAATTTATGGTAATGTATGATCGCCCTACGAATTCCTTCTTGTGGGATACAGTTTAATCCAGTAGTTCATATGATGTAGAAATATTAATGAAATTTTAACACAATTAAAATTCTAAACGGTAAACAAAACAGCCAATTCTTCATTTTTCAAATTTTTTGGGAGGTTGTCAGATCTCCAAGTTTATGGGCCTTCGCAGTTAACTTAGTGAACAACCTCGAAGTGATAAAGCAGACAAGGCTTCTTGAAGCAAACTTTCCTTCAGGAAATTCAAGTGGCATTTCAAAGAAGTGTGGACTTTCCTGGAATAGAGTTTTGACTTCTATGTTCCATGGAAATGAATGAAACACAGAAATGACTTCTTAGGCAAAAATAAGTTATATACAAGATACAATGCATTGTTAAAACACCCAATAATCCTCAAATAATTAGCTACATTCTGAAGTTAATTTACTCGTGAATTATTGAAGCTCTCAAGCTAGCATTACCTCTATATTAGGAAAGAAACTAGATAAAATAGTTCTTAAATGAGTCACGAAAGGTTGCGTAACAAACCTGCAGAAAAACAGGTAATCAAGTTGTGGACTGCACATTCAGCATAATAAACATTATTGAAGACAGGCACTCAATTTTCATAGCAAATGTTAGTTTTTCAAACTGTTCTAATCCACACAAAGGCTTCCAAGAACATCTGTAGTTACTCTACCATGAAGTTCCTTTTTTTATTAAATGTTTCCACTGGCCCTTTATATACTCACCTTGTGCTCAAAAAATAGAGCTCAAAAAACATGGATAACTGCCACAGCTTAAAGAAAGGATCTCTCATACAGATCCAAAAGAAAATGTGTTACAACCTAAAGACAGGTAAAACAAAACCAGTATGTTTAATCTATGTAACTCATTTCTGGATCTGTGTAACAGTATAAAGTCTGATAATTAAGCATTACTCATAAAGTAGAGAGTACTATGAACTTTGTTAAAAGAAGGAAAAGGCACAAACTTTTTCATCAGGTATTAAATACAATTGGGAGAATGTACATATATAATATGTAAGCAAAATGGTAAGAGGTCTTACTGAAACTTCAACTTTGCCCTTTTTAGCACCATTTTTTTTTTAAGTACTATCTTTTCAGGATTAAGATTAAGAATGTCGAGATCCTAGGCATGCTGGGCATGGAGTAATCGCCACCTACACTAGTAGGCAAATTTCCCACTTACATTTCGAACCCTAAAATAATTCTGCTTCTCATATTAAAGTCTAAACCCCAAAATTTACTCACATCTTACCCCATTTAATATTTATAAGATTCAGTTTCTTTTTATCCTAAAACAAAAATATATCCCCAACCTACCTCGTTTACTGTTTGAGTGAGGCCAGGCGTGGTGGCTCACGCCTGTAATCCCAGCACTTTGGGAGGCTGAGGCGGGGGGATCGCTTGAAGCCAGGAGTTCGAGACCCGCCTGGGCAATACAGTGAGACCCTGTCTCTACAAAAATAAAAAATAAAGTTATTAGTGGGGCATGGTGGTGCGGGCCTGTAGTTCGAGCTACTTGGGAGGCTGAGGCGGGAGGATCGCTTGAGCCCAGAAGTATGAGGCTGTTGTGAGCTACAATCACGCCACCGTACTCTAGCCCGAGTGACAGGGCAAGTACCTGTCTCAAAAACAATAAAAATTAAAATACCATTTGTGCGGTAGGGAGGTGGGGGTGGGGAGGGGCCGTTTCTGGAAGTCCTTTTGAAAAATTCAAGACATTAATTCCAATACTAAAACATGGAAAAGTTGCATAGTCATTTTGTTTACTTACAAATTCTGGCGGGGTTTCAAATCGTAGAACTGTTAGTATCAGGAGAGCCCTTCGAGTGGTCTTTCCGCTCCACACCGCTCGGCTGCACCCAGCGGCCGCTGCGGCCCGAATGTCGTCCAGGGTCCCCGCCCATATGACAAACACTTTCCGCCGGAAGGCGCCTGTGGAATGCTGGGACTAGTAGTCTCCGCGCCCTGCCTTCTGCCTTCTCCATCCTTCACCCTCTACTGCCAGGTCGTCTGACCCAGCGACAGGCACGGTAAATGCGCGACCAAACCGCGGAGGTCCCCGAGTTCTCATGCTATCTGACAGGATTACAGGCATCTCTGTAAGACGTCGACCACCCTGACCCATATGACCTGACATTCATAGACTGAAGAAACTCATAGGACCAACACAGTGAGAAGCAGTACCAAATGATAATGGCAAGCACCAAGTCCTGGAACACACCCTCTGTGCCATTAAGAGGAGCATGTACTCAAACAAATTGCCTAATCTAAACCTCAGTTTGCTCGTGTGTCAAATGGGGACAACGTTACTTACCTCATAAGATGGTTATGAGTAAATTAGATGACATATGTAGTATGTCTGCTAAATGACAGTAGTGACAAAAAAATAGCTATTGTTTTGATCTATTAATTTTATAAATGTGAAAATTAAGAGATGGCGAGCAATTTACCCAAGAATATACAATTTGTTGGGGGCAAAATCGAGTAAGTCTAAAATTCCTGTTCTTGACCTATACCAATTCAAGACAAATCTAAACCAATTTCAAGAAGAAATCTACTCATGTAAAACTCCCTTCCCCTTTCCTCAGTTTTATCTGTAACAGTCCTGACCAACACACTATTTTACTTATTTTGATTTTTGCCTGACTCCTCCCATAGAATATAATCTCCAAGAAGGCAGGAAACATTTTTTTTTAAATCAATTTTGTTCATGCTGTATCCCCAGCATAGAGAACAGGGACTGCCTACTACATAGTAGCTCAGGTATTTATTGAATTAATAATTCCTCATTTAATGTGATTTTTTGGTGCCTTCACTTCTCAACCATCCTCTTTTGGCAGAAGTGACAGGATATGGTAACACTCTTGGATGGTGTTTAATAATTAACTGCAATTCCTAATTCAACAAAAAGTAGAATACTATATTCCATCCACTTCATTGTGTTTAATTTCAGTATAACATTTCCAGCTATTTTCATTTGTATTAAGTCATTAAAATATTTTTTCTATCATTTGTAAGACTGGGGAATAAATGGAGCCAGCTACTATATCTTTAACTTCCTCCCGTTTAATATTTTAATCATATTTTCCTTATTAAAATTAAGTGTTGCCCACTTCATTTCTACTACTAAGTCACAACAGATAGATGATTTCTCTTTAAATAAATGAATTTCTGCTTACCCTAAGCAAAAAGTTCCTGTACAAAATTTGTTCTCAAATGTTTCATTTAAAATAATTTATTTTGACCAGGCGTGGTGGCTCATGCCTGTAATCCCAGCACTTTGGGAGGCCAAGGCGGGTGGATCACCTGAGGTCAGGAGTTCAAGACCAGCCTTGACAACATGGCAAAACTCTGTCTCTACTAAAAATACAAAAATTGGCTGGGCGCGGTGGCAGACACCTGTAATCCCAGCTACTCGGGAGGCTGAGGCATGAGATCACTTGAACCCGGGGTGGCGGGAAGCTGCAGTGAGCTGAGATCGCGCCACTGCACTCCGGCCTAGGCGAAAGAGCGAGACTCCGTCTCTAAATAAATAAATTAAAAATGAAACAAAATAACTGATTTAGGAACCCAGTCTCAAAAGCACAGGATTTCTAGACCTAGCCCTAATAGTTAAGTGTGTGAATTAATGCTAGTCATTTAATCTGAATTGTAATTTTTCGTGTTTCTCTTTCCCAATAAATGGCATATTCCCTAAAGGTAAAGCAATCTTCCTCATTGCTGGCACAAAATACATGTTTGGTAAGTAAATGAATTATTTAGTGTATTCTTTGTTTTAATCATTTTTTTTTTTTTTTTTTTTTTTTTTGAGACAGAGTCTCGCTCTGTCCCCCAGGCTGGAGTGCAGTGGCCGGATCTCGGCTCACTGCAAGCTCCGCTTCCCGGGTTTACGCCATTCTCCTGCCTCAGCCTCCTGAGTAGCTGGGACTACAGGTGCCCGCCACCTCGCCCGGCTAGTTTTTTCGTATTTTTGTAGCAGAGACAGGGGTTTCACCGTGTTAGCCAGGATGGTCTTGATCTCTTGACCTCGTGATCTGCCCGTCTCGGCCTCCCAAAGCGCTGGGATTACAGGCTTGAGCCACCGCGCCCGGCCTAATCATTTCTTTTCTTACTGGTCTTCTTTTATGAGTCGCTGAATTCCTCCAGATTTCTCAAATTCCCAAAGTAACTTTAACATCCAGAGCTGAGGCCTCCTTTTTTAGTGGCCCAGCGCATCCCTTATAATATTGGCTATGAGTCTACTGTCACTGTAATGTCACCTCTTTTGAGCAACTCTTATAGTCTGGATAATAGCTACAGCAGAGTATCTAGTTTTATAACAGTTTAGCTTTGCCTCAGAGTTAGTCAGTGTGGTATCTGCAAGGTTTCTAGGTGAAGGAGGCAGTCACAGTAGAGGTAGGTTTCTGTATGCTTACAACCTAGACAAGAGAGGGAAAATCCTATGCATATATATATATGTATGTATGTATATTACCATTAAAGTTACCATGCCTCTAATTTTACAGTGTCTCATTAATTAGTTGAAAGGCCATTCCTAAGCCTTTACAAGCAGTTTTAATTACAAAATACGCATATTCTGATTATTCAATAATATGTAGAACCTCTCATCTTCTCTGATTGTTCAGTATGTAGAATCTCTTTTTTTTAACTTGTCCCTCAACCCTAAGTTTTACAAGCCTGTATCCAAGTTTTATAAGCTAGTATCCCAGTTTCTATATAGTCATCTGTCTTGGTAAAATGTTTCAAGGCGACTTTAATGTTCATAACATGAACTCAATATATTACCGTAAAATTTATATTTAATAATTAAATCTATCAAGGAACTTACACTATTGTGTTACTAATGAGTCATGTAGTAGCCACCTTAAAGGGAAAGCCCTACTTAAAACATAAATAAAAATCACGTATTACCATATCAATACTTATCAGTATTTTGTTGGAAAAATCTAGCAAATTTCCGAAATATACCATCTAATCCAGGCTGACAAGGGAGAGTACCCTTTTCATTTTTCCTTAAAAGACAAGAAGAAAGAAAAAGAAAGAGACAGGGATAAAGAAGTCTCTTTTGTTAATTTCCTGCAGTTTTTAAAAGCTATATTGTATATAAAGCTACAGTAAACTAAGCTCCTACCAGGCCAAACCCTATCTCACTCTAAAACTCTAATTCCTCGTGCCTGTGGCCACGTTTATGGACAATATTAGTAAAAACATAGTACACTGCCAGGCGCAGTGGCTTATGCCTGTAATCTCAGCACTTTGGGAGGCCGAGGCGGGCGAATCACGAGGTCAAGAGGTCCAGACCATCCTGGCTAACACGGTGAAACCCTGTCACTACTAAAAATACAAAAAACTAGCCGGACGTGGCGGCTGGCACCTGTAGTCCCAGCTGCTGGGGAGGCTGAGGCAGGAGAAAGGCGTGAACCCTGGAGGCGGAGCTTGCAGTGAGCCAAGATCGTGCCACTGCACTCCAGCCTGGGTGACAGAGCAAACTCCGTCTCAAAATAAAATAAAATAAAAACTAAAAACATAGTACACATTACGACCTAAGTAGTTGAAATTTGTGCCAAGTCTGAGCAACAAATGAGTTGCTCAGAAGCATTTTAAGGTGATTACTTGGAAGAATAAACAAACACCTTCAAACTTTTCAGAATCACTCATTGTAACTGGTATCCAAATTACAATTTTTAAAATCTGTTCACTCCAATCATAGCAAGTCCCACAAGAAGTTGTATATTTGAAGGTGATTTGAGCTTTTTTTCAATAATTATTCAGACTTTACACGAACTTAATCGACCTTCTCTGAGTGTGTCTAAATTTGGTTAGGTATTTGCAGATTAGCCACATCTGTAAACATGGTATATGGAGGTGAAACAAATAGCTTTTACCATGCTTATTCCAGAAAGTCCAGAAAGCATTCTAAATCAAATGTAGAGTATCACGTCATATCCAGAATAAAAGTAAAAATAATGGATCACAACTTAAAATTACAGTGCTCTCTTTAATAAAAAAACGTGTTCCTCACTGTGCACAATGTAGCACTAACATGGTCTTCCGAACAGTGCTGCTTGGTATAAAACCAAGAAATATTAAAGACCAGGAATAAGGTCATGTTTCCTATGGGTACATTTCGGAAAAGAAAATACATTCAAAGAATATGACTGTAGACAGGATTTTGCACAACCTCAACAGGTGACAAAATTTAAAACTAGGTAACCGCCTTCATAAGGAACTTGAAACTAAAATTTTTGCCACGAAAACATGACATGTGCAAAAGTTATCTCTCTGGCCATCGCTCCTGCTAAGGACACTGGAAAGGACATGCTCAACGTAGCAGTCGATCAAGATTCCAGGGAAACTGCGCAACAGCCTGGGGCCGAGAAGCGAAACCTGGTCTTCTTCACCCTCGTCTCACTCCTTTTCCCGCAGACTTGGTAGTGGGAGATAGGACGGGCGTCTCCTATATGCAGGCAAAACTTGCCACGAGCGGCTCGACTTGGGACGGGCAATTTGCCCTGCCACCCTTCCGTCGCCCCCACCCCTCCTTTACTGAAGGCCGAAGGCAGAGACGTCCTCCTCCCCCTTCTCCTCCTCTTTGGTGTCTCCAGCCAGGAGGCGGGAGCGACCCACAGCAGCTGACCCAGCTCAGGCACTGCCTCTTCCACAGCCCTCAAGACACACCATGGGCCCAGAGGCAGGTTTGCTACACAGCAGCGACGACGCAGGCGGCGGCCCCGGCGACTCGCAACTGCCTCCCTGACCACAGCGACCACCGCCTAACACACCCGAGAAGCCATCGCCGCCACCGGCAGGAGAACCTAGGGTCCAGAAAGCCATCCTCGCGATCAACTAAAGCTACGTCAACAACTATGGCGGGCGAGGGACCGCGGGCGGAGGCGGTGCGGGAAGGATGGGGTGTGTACGTCACTCCCAGGGCCCCCATCCGAGAAGGAAGGGGCCGGCTCGCCCCTCAAAATGGCGGCAGCAGCGACGCGCCTGCGTACGGAACTCCTCTGTCGCGGCAGGGCCGGCGGGAAGTGAGGTTCTCGGAGGAGCCGCCAGAAGTGTACGGAGACTTCGAGCCCCTGGTGGCCAAAGAAAGGTCCCCGGTGGGAAAACGAAGCCGGCTAGAAGAGTTCCGGCCCGATTCTGCGAAAGAGGAAGTGAGAGAAAGCGCGTACTACCTTCGGTCTAGGCAGCGGCGGAGGCTGCCGCGACTCCAGGAAGCCGAAGAGATGCAGACGCGAAGGGCTACCCGCCTTCAGCAGCAGTACTCACAGCAGCCTCCGCTACAGCCGTCTCCCGTTACGACCAGGAGAGGGCTGCGGGACTGTCATTCCTCTGAAGGTGAGGACCGCGGAGGTAACAGTCCCAGCCGCGAGCCAGGGAACGCGCGGGGGCGGGCGCGCGCCTCCGTGGAGCTCATCCCCGCCTGGGTACTAAGTACTGGGATTGGGTACTGGGTACTCCTTAGCCCCTTCTGGACGTGTGTCGCCGTGCAAGGGCCATCCTGACCCGCAGCGGGGAAGGAAGCGCCGACCCAAGGAGTGGAAAGATGGTCGTATGGAGCGACCCGGGCAGGGCTGGGGTGCTCTGCCCAACATCGGGCATCAATTTAGGGGAGTCAGGGCTGCCGTTTTCTGCAGGCCTTCACGAGGGGACAGCGAATTACTCCAGGTTCGGTTTCATTTTGGTTTCGTCTACCCTGCGGATGTTTCTACGGAAACCACTTCCATTTCCTTTTTTAACGCTGGCAGGCCAGAGTCTCCAGCTGAGGATCTAACCTTTCAGTCATTTTCCCTCCCCACCCAGGTGGGGAGAGAGAAAGGAGAAATTTTGTGAGTGGGCATTTCGAGGGATTGCTGAGTTTAGTTAATTGATTTGAGACCTCACCCAATACTTACACCGAAATGGGGTAACTCATTTTTCCTGAACTCATGTTCCCCAGTGTCTGATAAACTTGAGCTGATTGCTCTTTCTCCAGTGTGGTGGTCCCTGCCAAAAATCTGCCACTTTGGTGGCCGTCACTGTAACCTCAAGTAGTCTGGCAAATCAGGCTGACAAAGCAACCTGAAAAACAAGACTATTAATTAGTTTTCGTCTAAATGGACAAAAGGGATGCTGACAGAGTGAATGTATAGTGTTAGGTAAGTCATAGGTGAATCAGTTTCCTTAACCTATCCTTTCCCACCCTGCCCCCCCATTTTGGGACCCAACACTGAGTCACAGATGAAGTTTCATGTTAGTCCCACGTAAGGCACCTGTGAGGTAAAAATCAGCGGACCTGAGTCACAATGGGATGACATAGTTTGTGGTAGACTATTGATATGCGGAGGAGTGGGTTTTCAGCTTACAGCATGATGATAGGCTGCAAGTTTACCTGCTCACTCGTGAAGGTACTGACAGATTTGAAGACTTGATTTTGGCAACTTTATGTTAAAGTTGTGTCAGTTACTTTTGGGTGTAGCAACTCAAGACAGTTTAGCCCATATATATGTGTGTTTTATCTCTTTTAAGATTACAAAGTTTTTGCAGACAAGGAGCCTATCATATATATTTGATAGTAATTTAAGTACTTGGTTTAATTCAGTATCTTTCAGAACCTGGAAGAATGCTTTGCACAAGGCAGGCAATAAATATGTTACATTGTATTGAGTCCCACAGAGCCTAGTGCAGTTATATAGGCTAACATTTTTTTAACAAGTAAAGAATTTACCCCTATTTTATTAAATCTTTAAGGATCTAAACATTTTCACTCTTCTGCATTCTTCCACATCGTTTGTGACTCTCTACCCCATCTTTCTGATTTTCTGAAGTAATATATTTTTGTAAAACAACAGTGGCAAATATTATTACATTCTAATGAATTAGTTGTATTCTGTCCCAAGAGGAGTTCTGACTAGTTTAATTCCTAAGTTTTGGTAAACCTAACCACCTGTTTCTAAAGAAATGAGTTTCTTGCATTTTTGCATATGTATTGTTACAAAAATGCATAATCTGTGCCATTATCTCCCAGGTCATATATTCTGAATTTTAACTCTAGTTACGTCTGTTTTTTAGAGGATGAACCATCTTCCGAAACTGATTTAAGCCAAACGATTTCAAAGAAAACTGTCAGGAGCATACAAGAGGCTCCAGGTAAGAAGAGTTGACTTTTTGTTTATCTCCTTACCTACCAACTTTTTAAATGTTAATTGAAGTAAGCAATGTAAGTATGTGTAAAGAAAAGACAAGGGCAGACATGTGAGTACTCAAGAGTACCAGCCACCCATATAACCTTGTAAGATAGATACTATACCAATTTCAAAGAAGAGAAAACTGAAGCACAGAGAAGCTAAGACAGTTCTGTAAGGTTACGTATGTGACTGAGCCAAAATTCAGACCCAGGTTTGTCTTCTCCAGAGCCCTTTCGTCTTCCAAGTGCCTCACTATCATTCTCTCATGTCATAACTAGCTACTCAGTAAAGTTTGTTAAATGTCAACTGAATGAATATGTCATACTGTCCTCTGTTTAAAATGGATTAAGTTTTTCTTATTATTATACTTTAAGTTCTAGGGTACATGTGCACAATGTGCAGATTTGTTACGTATGTATACATCTGCCATGTTGGTGTGCTGCACCCGTTAACTCATCATTTACATTAGGTATATCTCCTAATGCTACCCTCGCCCATGCCCCCACCCCATGACAGGCCCCCGTGTGTGATGTTCCCCATCCTGTGTCCAAGGGTTCTCATTGTTCAATTCCCACCTATGAGTGGGAACATGCGGTGTTTCGTTTTCTGTCCTTGCAATAGTTTGCAATAGTTTGCTAAGAATGATGGTTTCCAGCTTCATCCATGGCCCTACAAAGGACATGAATTCATCCATTTTTATGGCTGCATAGTATTCCATAGTGTATGTGCCACATTTTCTTAATCCAGTCTATCATTGATGGGCATTTGGGTTGGTTACAAGTTTTTGCTATTGTGAAAAGTGCCACAATAAACATACATTTTGCTTAAGTGTATCCTTCTTCTCAAGAAGCTTATGCTATAAATGGAAATTGAAAATGTTTACCAATGTAAGTGACAGATTAAATGGAATCTGTACGTAGATTACTTGGACTGTATCAATAGCATACTGTGCATTCACTATTACTAGAAATAAGAATATGTCTGTCTTTGAGAGGTTTGAGATACTCAGGGTTTTCTTCCTCTAAAAGGTGCTTTTATACTACATCTAATACTTAGCACATTCCCATCCCATGCCTCTTAATGAAAGGAGAGTTTAGGGAATTATTAAATGCTTATAAAGTCTAAGAGAAATTATTTAAATGGAGTCACTCTTTGATGGAGGACTGCTTTAAGTATAAGTTTAAGGTAAAGATAAGCCCTTCTTCCTCATAGAATGATAGACATTCAGTTTAATTTTGATATTCAAAACAGTGCTATAATTGTATGTAAGGCTACCGGTGTGGTCTGAGAGAAAATTATGCAAAGATGCCCTTAAGAATAAAGACCTAGGCCGGGTGCAGTGGCTCACACCTATAAGCCCAGCACTTTGGGAGGCCAAGGTGGGCGGATCATGAGGTCAGGAGTTCGAGACCAGCCTGGCCAATATGGTGAAAACCTCGTCTCTACTAAAAATACAAAAACTAGGCAGGTGTGGTGGTGGGCGCCTGTAACCACAGCTACCCAGGAGGCTGAGGCAAGAGAATCGCTTGAACCTGGGAGGCGGAGGTTACAGTGAACCAAGATCCTGCCACTGCACTCCAGCCTGGGTGGTGGAGCCTGAGTCCGTGTAAAAAAAAAAAAAAAGAATAAAGACCTAAACCAAAGGACCACCTTATTAAAAAAACATAGTAAAAATACATCATTTGGTCATCTTGTTATTGAAAAACTTGAAAAATGTTGATTAATTCAGAACAGGAATATAGTTTGAAATCTTCTCATTGTTTGAAATTCCATAATTGAGTTGTTTTCACTTAAAATAGCCGTTAGGTTGTTTATCAATTCAGGTCATCTATACCTACATAACAGTTATTCTCCTATGGCCAGATTCATTCCTTTCTGGAAATTATGACACTAATTTTGTAATCCAAAAATATATTAGGACAAATTTTATTTATTTTTCCAAAAGTTAACTGGGTATTTTTGTTCTACTAGTGTGGTTTCTAGCTGAATAATCATAAATAGTTGTTCTTAAATGCTTACTATTTTATCATGAACATTTGCTTCTCTAGCTACTGTAGTTAGAGCATTCATTCTCCAGATACTTATTGAGCACCTACTTTGTGCCAGTCTCCATGCTTTGATTTGAGGGTGCAGTAGTGAACAAAAGCAGACAAGTGAGGGAGCCTCCTATCAAAGAAGGGTACTTAATATTTTATTCTCTCATACCTCTGTCTGGTACCCTATTCAAGTACTTTACGTGGGCTATGTATATAGTAGCATATACAGGAAATGCTTCTTAAATGAAAAGATGGGAACTGAAGTAGTGATTAATGTCTGTAGAGTAAGTTTGATTAAATGTAGCTTAGTAAAAGCAAACAAACCAAAAACAGATTTTGAGGTTTAGTTTTTAGTTCAACCTGAAAAGGCTAGAAGTACAGAGAAGAAAAAGAGAAAGGTAGTTGTAATATGTGGAGTAACAGGAACTAAAATTTGCCTTTATTATCACGTGTGCAGGGTTTTTGTGTTCGTTTTTGTTTTAAAGAGACAAGGTCTCACTGTCATCCAGGCTGGAGTGCAGTGCAGTTATACTGCAGCCACAAACTCCTGGACTCAAGCTATCATCCTCCTGCCTTCACCTCCCAAATAGCTGGAATTACAGGCACACACCACTATGTCTGGTTAATTTTTTTTATTTTATGTGGAGACAGGGTCTCAGTATGTTGCCTAGGCTGGAAAGATTTATTTTTAAAGATATTGATATAAGTTCTAAATACTTGATATGTGAAATACTGAGATAGATATTTCATAGAATCTTAGAGCTGGAATATTTAAGGGGAATGTCAAAGTTCCAGAATGTGGTTTTTGCAACTCAGAGATAAGACATAAAGCTTTTTTATGCAGATGAATGAAACAAAACATAATATAATCCAAATTTTGGTAAATCTTTGGTTTTAGAATATGTTATTGAGGTACTTGGAGAAAATATACCTTTATAGGTGGTTTTCTAGACTAAAATTAACATTTTAATGGGATCGGCTTTTCTACTAACACAATGCTATGGAACTAGAGAGGGTCTGAAATGAACCCTGGCCCACATTAACGTTTTTATTTAAAATTAACTTGCATTTCTTCAATACAAGGTTAAATAGTTAGAATGAGTGTATTAAGTCTCAAGATGTTAAGCCTAAAATTAAAATATTCCATAAATAATCCACAATGAGGGTCCATCACAAATGGAATAGGTAATTGAGTTGGTGCCATAATACAGATTTTGATTCTTAACTAAGCAATTTAGAATATTTTTATTTAGTATTTCTTTCCTTTCTACAGCTACAGTTTGCTGAGAAAAATTGCAAATTTCTCCGTCAAGACTATAAATTTTATATGGCAGGAAACTTGTCTCTTTGTTCATTGTCATCACTGGTTCACAATAGTTGTCACTTAGAAAACTTGTCTCTGCTCCTCTAGCATAAATAAAAGCTCTGTAAACCTTTGTTGAATAAATAAGAGATTATCACATAATAAAGCTAGTGTGTTTCACATTTTATATATTTTTAAATGTTTTCTCTTCCTGTATTAGCGGTGAGTGAAGATCTTGCAATCAGCTTATGTCGACCCCCTCTAAGACACCCACGATCTGGTAAGAGATTGTCTGTTGGCTTACCTTTTCTGTAAATACAATACTATTGTCTGTTAGCTTACCTTTTCTATAAATACAATTCTGTTTTTAAATATGGTTGTACACGTATTCATATGATTCAGAACTCAAAAGTTACTATCAATATACATGAAAAAGTCTCCCTGCCCCTCTGTTCTTCAGCCAGCCAGTCTCTTCATCAAAAGCAACCAATGTAGTCAGTTTATATTTTTTGGAGATTCACAGAAATTCATGGATAAAATTATCTTGTCCTTTTTGTAACATAGATTTTGGCTTTATAAACTCTCATTTCTGTCTTTTTTTTTTTTTTATTATTTTGAGACAAGGTCTAACTCCGTCATCCAGGCTGGAGTGCAGTGGCACAACCAGGGCTGACTACAACCTCAACCTCTCCGGCTCAAGCAGTCCTCCTGCCTCAGCCCGCCAAGTAGTGGGACTATACATGCACCACCACGCCTGGCTAATTTTTGTATCTTTTGTAGAGATGGGGTTTTGCCATGTTACCCAGGCTGATCTCAAACGCCTGGGTAAGTGATCCACCCACCTCAGCCTCCCAAAGCGCTGGGGTTACAGGCATGAGCCACGGCACCTGGCTTTCTTTTTTGCACTTTCTTGTTGTTTATTTTTACTTAACATATATACCAGAGATGTTTCTATATTCATATATAAAGAGCTTCCTTTTTTAAAGAGATTGTTTTTTATATATTCCTGTGATTCTTTCTGTTAACTATGATGATTTTAAACTATGGTCAGGGACTTTATTCTTCCAGTATACTGCTAACAGAAAATTCAAGATGGAGCTCCGTGGCACAGGACGACAAAATATCCCTCCCTCAGTTATCGTTTTGACTAAAATGATTAAAAGTATTGCCCTGAAATTGATTTCATGACTATGAAGAAAACTAGTAAAGTTATTCCAGTCTACTTTTACTTCATTTTCATTGTTTTTTTGGCTCTTAAAGATGCTTTATCATGGGAACTGAAAGGGAAATGTATTTATCTTTACATTAGGTTTCTGTAACTTCCCATTCTCTTTAACAAAGAATTATGTTGATTTATTTCAATAGATCGTTGACTATCCTATTAAGTATTCCAGTGGTAAAGATCTACTAAGGCTTTGTTGATGAACCTGTGGTAAAGAACCATATGATGCATTTCCTTTTCAGCCCTAATCATTCTCTTGCTATGTCTCTTGCAGATTTGACCTACAAAACAAATGAAAATACTAAAATGAGTGAATTAGGTTCGTTTATCTCTATTCTTTTTTTTTTTTTTTTCCAGGCAGGGTCTCACTCTCACCCAGGTTGGAGTGCAGTGGCATGATCTTGGCTCACTGCAACCTCCTCCTCCCACTGTAGTCCCAGCTACTCCGGAGGCTTAACTGAGCCTCCCACCTCAGCCTTCGGAGTAGCTGGGACTACAGTCATGCGCCACCATGCCTGGCTAATTCCTGTATCTTTTATAGAGACAGGGTTTCACCATGTTGCCCAGGCTAGTCTTGAATTCCTGGGCTCTAGCAGTCCACCCACTTTGGCCTCCCAAAGTGCTAGGATTATTGGCATGCACCACTACACTTGGCTAATTTTGCATCTTTTATAGAGACAGGGTTTCACCATGTTGCCCAGGCTAGTCTTGAATTCCTGGGCTCTAGCAGTCCACCCACTTTGGCCTCCCAAAGTGCTAGGATTATTGGCATGCACCACTGCACCCAACCCTATCTCTAATTCTTATAGGGCCTCTTTAAGGGTCTAGATTAATAGAATACAAGAGTATACTTATCTAGTCATTGGCTTGAGAATACTAATTTATTATGTCAGCTTGTGGGGACATAGTCCCTATGACTAGGACCTCCCATAAATAGCCTTGGTTTTTGTTGTCTATAGTTATGCCTATATTATTGCTTAAATTCATATAAAAACATTTAATAAATCAATTTAGTCCTTGCTAGTCTTCATTAAATTCAGACTATTCGGAAAAAGATATCAACTTACCAATTAAGGTTTTCCTCTTGATTTATTTTGTTTTCGTTTTTGTTTTTCTGAGACAGAGTCTTGCTCTGTCACCCAAGCTGTAGTGCAATGGTGCGATCTTGGCTCACTGCAACTTCCACCTCCCAGGTTCAAGCAATTCTCCTGCCTCAGCCTCCCAAGTAGCTGGGATTACAGGTGCCCACCACCACGCCCGGCTACTTGTTTTGTATTTTTAGTAGAGACAGGGTTTCACCATGTTGGCCAGGCTGGTTTCAAACTCCAGGGTTTCACCATGTTGGCAAGGCTGGTTTCAAACTCCCTGACCTTGTGATCTACCCCACTTGGCTTCCCAAAGTGCTGGGATTATAGGCGTGAGCCACCACACCCAGTCTTTCCCTTGATTTTTATTTTTATTTTTTATTTTTATTTATTTATTTTTATTTTTTCGAGACAGGGTCTTGCTCTATCACCCAGGCTGGTGTGCAATGACGTGATCTTGGCCCACTGCAAGCTCCACTTCCTGGGTTCAAGTGATTCTCCTGCATCAGCCTCTCAAGCGTCTGGGATTACAGATGACCACCATGACACCCAGCTAATTTTTGTATATTTAGTAGAGATGGGCTTTCACCATGTTGGTCAGGCTGATCTCGAACTCCTGACCTCAAGCGATCCACCTGCCTTGGCCTCCCAAAGTTTTGAGATTACAGGCATGAGCGACTGCACGGCAGCCCTTTCTTGATTTAGAAAGTGAATTTGATAACTTTGTTCATAGTAAGTTCAGTGCCCTTTGCTATAATATGTTTGTTGAACTGGTTTTAATTCATTTCAGTGTCTCTCTGGCTGTAGGACATGACATACTACGATTTCTGGTTTTAAATGAATCTACACTGAATGTCATTGGACTTAGTTTTTTTTACATTTTAATTTTTTTCTAAATTTGAAGATGAGCCAAAAGGGAAACGCTTCATTTTTCTTTATAAATCATTGCACATTCTTCTAATTCATCTTTCGCTTAAGTTCAGGCCACTTCTTTAGATACTTAAAAAAACTTTTTAGGCTAAGTGTGGTAGCTCACACCTGTAATCCCAGCACTTTGGGAGGCCAAGGCGGGTGGATCACCTGAGGTCAGAGGTTCAAGACCAGCCTGGCCAGCATAGCAAAACCCTGTCTTTACTAAAAATACAAAATTAGCCAAGCGTGGTGGTGCTGCGCACCTGTAACCCCGGCTACTTGGGAGGCTAAGGCAGGAGAATCACTTATACGCAGGAGGCAGAGGTTGCAGTGAGCCAAGATTGCACCACTGCACTCCAGCCTGGGCAAAAAGAGTAATAAAACTCTGTCTCAAAAAAAAAAAAAAAACTTTTTAAAAAAGATAACTTGGAGCTGAAATAACCTAACACTCTTTGCTAGACTTAAAAATCATTTTTATGAGCACCTTGTAATAAAAACTTTGTTTTTTATTGTCTGAAATTGTCATATTATTTAAATTCATTTTTTTCTGTGATTGTAAATTTAAAAAAGAGATTTTCATTTTAAAGTCATTTTCTGTGGGTTTAATACAAAGAATGAGGCTGGGCATGGTGGCCCATGCCTATAATCCCAGCACTTTGGGAGGCCGAGGCAAGTGGGTCACCTGAGGTCAGGAGTTTGAGACCATCCTGGCCAACAGAGTGAAACCCTGTCTCTGCTAAAAATACAAAAAATTAATCAGGCATGGTGGTGGGCATCTGTAATCCCAACTGCTTGGGAGGCTGAGGCAGGGAGAACTGCCTGAACCGGGGAGGTGGAGGTTGCAGTGAGCCGAAATTGTGCCATTGCACTCCAGCCTGGGCGATAGAGCGAGATTCAGTCTCTAAATAAATAAATAAATAAATAAAACAAAGAATGACATTCTTCAATTCCTTTATAGTAACGTTAGTACACCTTGGAGTATATGAAATGGCGATTCGTGGAGTTTGAATACTAGTGATAACACCAGACTATTCTTTGCTCTCTCCTCCTGCTGCCCCACTCTTGACTGTATTCTCAAAAGCATAATTGGCATCGAATAGTCTTTTTTTTTTTTTTTTTTTTTTGAGACAGTCTCGCTCTGTCACCCAGGCTGGACTGTAGTGGTGCAATCTCAGCTCACTGCAACCTCCACCTCCTAGGCTTAAGCAATGCTCCGACTTCAGCCTCCCATGTAGCTGGGATTACAGACACATGACACCATGCCTGGCTAATTTTTGTATTTTTAGCAGAGACAGTGTTTCACCATGCTTGCCAGGTTGGTCCTGAATGCCTGACCTCAAATGATACACCTTCCTTGGCCTCCCAAAGTACTCGGATTACAGGCGTGAGCCACCATGCCCAGCAGATAGTCTTAAAACTATCTGTACCTGGGGTCAGCAAGCTACAGCTTCTGGGTGAAATTGGCCTACAATCTTTTTATTCAGCCGATGAACTAAGAAGGAATTTTTACACTCGTGAAAAAAAACAAAGCATGTAACAGAGACCTTATGTGACTCACAAAGCTTAAAATATCTACTATTTAGTCCTTTATAAAAAAAAGTTTGCTGACCCCTGATTTATAGTGATGGCAAGAATAAAGACGACAAATCACCCAAATGGTCGTTTGTTGTCAGAGTAAATTCAGAAGTTACATACTTGCCTGAACATATATTTATTACAACACTCCATACTAGGTTGTACCTAGAGCACAAGAAGAAAGGAAACAAGTCAGGCGTGGTGGCTCACATCTGTAATCCCAGCACTTTGGGAGGCTGAGGTGGACAGAATCTGAGGTCAGGAGTTCGACATGAGCCTGGCCAACATGGTGAAACCCTATCTCTACTAAAATTACAAAAATTAGCCAGTCGTGGTGGTGGGCACCTATAATCCCAGCTACTCGGGAGGCTAAGGCAGGAGAATTGCTTGAACCCGGGAGTTGAAGGTTGTAGTGAGCCGAGATCGTGCCATCACACGCCCTGGGCGACAAGAGCGAGACTCCATCTCAAAAAAAAAAACGAAGAAAGGAAACAATGACTCCTGTGTTCTATCCAGTATTCCTTTGAGAAGGCACAGTGGTCTTATTTATATTTTCACGTCTGTCCCCAGACAAAGCACAAAGTAAGCCAAGTTTATATTTTCTTGAGTGGCCTTTGCTCCTCACACCAGGTACCTCCCACAAATCTCTAGGAATAGCGAAATCTACTGGAGAAATGTAGATGCTTTGGCACCTGGGCTTTCAAAATAACTAGGGAATTTTGTAAGTTGTAAAAAGCTGGGTTATACCTAAGGTTTGAATTCCTTAAAAACTGTGGCCAAGTAACAGAAAGTAAATAGAAAGTGGCACAATTAGTGCTTGGTTTTCACTAGAGAGGATGACTATTAAGTGGTCTATCTTAAAACAAACATAAAGACCTGGGACTTCTGAAAGTAGCTTTTCCTAATTGGTTGAGGTTATTGGAAAATATAACACCTTCTTAAACAGCATGGTTTAGTTATTACCATTTGTCTATATATTTGTTACAGCCACAGCCTTTATGAGTTTCTCAATAATGTTTTAATATTAAGGATTTTTTGCTCAAAATATGATTTTAATTCTCAAAGCTCCTATATGAACATTGGGAAGAGTAATACCTTTTTTAAAAAAGTATTTTTTTAAGGCCAGGCATGGTGGCTCATGCTTGTAATGCCAGTTCTTTGGGAGGCCCAGGCAGGTGGATCACTTGAACCCAGAAATTTAGCCTGGGCAACATGGCGAAACCTCATCTCTACAGAAAAAAATGCAACTGTTAGCTGGGTGTGGTGGCATGTGCCTATAGTCCCAGTTACTTGGGAGGCTGAGTCTGGAGGATCACTTGAAGCCAGGACGCAGAGGTTGCAGTGAGCTGAGATTGTGCCACTGCACTGCAGCCTAGGCAACAAAAAGAGACCTTGTCTCAAAAGAAAAAAGAGGCTGGGTGAAGTGGCTCACGCCTGTAATCCCAGCACTTTGGGAGGCTGAGGCAGGTGGATCACCTGAGGTCAGGAGTTCAAGACCAGCCTGGCCAACATGGCGAAACCCCGTCTCTACTAAAAATACAAAAATTAGCCTGGCGTGGTGGCACACGCCTGTAGTCCCAGCTACTCAGGAGACTGAGGTAGGAAAATCACTTGAACCCTGGAGGCGGAGGTTGCAGTGAGCCGACACCGCACCACTGCACTCCAGCCTGGGTGACAGAGTGAGACTCTGTCTCAAAAAAAAAAAACAAAAACAAAAAACAAAATCTAATGCTTTAACTTTCTACATGTAGCAGCCAAGTTTAAAATAAAGGTAGCTGAATAACAAAAGAGGGAAATGAAATTAAAGCTTATGTAGTCATAGCTACTGATTCATCATCAGATCACACTTAAATATTTATTTCCATTATTTGCAGCTTGGGTAAAAAGGGGAAAACAGGTAGAATGTTTAAAAGTTTGCAGGTAATCTAATTATTGAGCACTAATTTTAGACTTTTTCTTAAGTTGCTAAGTAACATTAATCATAGTATGAGAAATATTAGCAAAAGTCTAGACTTAACAGACTTTATTCTGTAATCATAAAATATATTTTATTCATGAAACAAACATTTTTATTTTTTAATTTTTTTTTGAGACAGGGTCTCACTCTGTCACCCAGGCTGGGTTGCAGTAGCGTGATCTCCGCTCACTGCAGCCTCCACCTCAAAGTGCTGGGATTACAAGGCATGAGCCACCATGCCTGGCCAAACATTTTTACACACCTTCTTTATGTCAGTGACTGACTTAAATACTAGGCTCATAAATAGCCATTCGGTTTTTTTTTTTCCCTCTACCTCTTAGATGTATGTGAGGTAATGGAAAAGAAAAACAAGTTTACAAATCATTTTTTTTTAAAGTGCTAAATAGTGATACATGTCTGTGGGAGCCTAGACGAGAAGCACCGTACTCAGTGGAAGAGGTTGAGGCAGCTTTATGAGTTGGAAATGACATTTGGATTGAATTTTGAGGGATGAATAGCAGGCAGGATGAGGACGGAGACTTGCAAATACTACAGTTTGCTTTATAATAGACATTATTTTACCTTTAGAGAGCATGCAATATGAGAAATTAAAGTCCTTTATATTACAGACAGTAGTCTCACACTAGCCATGATTCTTTATCTGAGACATTAAATAATTTTTAGAATGACATTCTAAATCATAGCAGGCTTGGGTTTCTTGAGCTTTGTTTACCAGAATGAAAACTATGTTTTAAAACGTATCTGTAGCCAAAACAATGAATAACCTGATTCAGTAATGATTATTCTTCAAATCTACAGGGATTATTATTATTTAAGATATCTAATTCATAGATATTATTGGATTATAAAACACCAAATAGTACTTTTTTTGGTTTTAGTGATGGGATCAAGATAGCATTGCATAACTAGTTATTCCTGTTTTGAATACTATTGATAAATATTTATTGTCAGAAACATAGAATTCTAAAACACGATCTTTAGTCACTAGATTAAATCCAGAAGTCTGAAAAGTATTGAAAAATGGATAGAATCCATGATTTATTAGATACTTCAAATGGGGAGCTCCCTTATGTAAGCTGGCTAAAAAATAATTATTAAACCATCCATGCTAATTAGATAACACATGGATAAATAGGAAAAAGCAGACTGAATTTTAGGCAACTTGGTATATGGAGGATTAAATATTAAGTGAATTGGCTCTAGACAAATTGACCTGGAGCTTCAAATGTGGACAGAAATAAAACATATCTTCAAATGTACACAGATAAAACATGCCTATCAAATGAAAAAAGGAGGGATTACTGTACTAGTCATACTACTGTACTATGTACTATACTGTTCTGGTAGCTCAACAAATGGATATAAATCTCCAACATATCCTTTCCATTATTATAGATTCTAAAATCCATTCAGCCGTAGTTAAAGAGGTTTTGTCTACCTTCTAATTTTTAAAGTAACTATGTAAAACATAACACTGAAATATAAATGGGACTTTAGTAAAGCCTACTGTATTATATGAATTACACTTAGAAGTTTGTTGGAACCTCTCATATTAGGAAAAGTTCAGCTATCAGCCTTTTTTTTATTCATTTATTCAAAAAATTGACCAAGCGCAGTGGCTTGTGCCTGTAATGCCAGCATTTTGGGAGGCCGAGGCAGGCAGATTATTGAGCTCAAGAGTTCGAGACCAGCTGGGCAACATGGCATACAAAACCCTGTCTCCACATAAAGGACAAATATTAGCAGGATATGGTGACATGTGCCTGTAGTCACAGCTACTCGGGAGGCTGATGTGGGAGGATGGCTTGAGCCTAGGAGATAGGGGTTGCAGTGAGCCAAGATCACACCACTGCACTTCAGCCTGGACAACAGAACCAGACCATGTCTCAAAACAAACAAAAAATTATTGAGTGCTTATTATGTGCTATTATGAACAAGACTGATGAGGTGGTAGAATTGTAATAGACTGGAAGTCAAAAGAGCCTGTGGTCTTCTAGCTTTTTTTATTATTACATTAGTCCTATACCCTTAGACAAGTCACTTGATATCTATGAACCTTACTTATGAAAATCTTCCCTTATGATGAGATGGGAATCAGATAACATTCGTGAAGGGTTTTTTGAAAACCAAATAGTATCATGCAAATATTAAGGACTTAGCATTTTAAGATAATAACAAAAATATGATTATTGATTAAGAAAGCATCTTGTATTTGCATGCTATGTGAATAGTTACATAAATGAACAAAGTAAAACTGCTGTACAAAAATACGAAGTAGTATAATAATTATGCACTTAGAGAATAAAACTTCAAAAAGAGAACAATACCTTTTTGTAGAATGGAAATATTAGTTAAAAATTTTTGGCTAGCTGTGTAGCTCATGGCTGTAATCCCAGCACTTTAAGAGACCAAAGTGCTGGGATTATAGGCTAGGAGATGGGAGGATTTCTTGAGGCCAGGAGTTTGAGACCAGCCTGGTCATCATGTGAAACCCCATCTCTTAAAATTTTTTTTTGACTTTTCCTTTTTCTCCCTCAAAAAAGAGAAAAAGAAAGGACAGTGTTCCTAAGGAACCTAGAGCAAAATAGTACCTAATACACCAGAGTCTAGCTCTTTAAGAGTAACATGGTGTTATCAGCAGTTTTCTCTGGGTTATTTATTTTTTTTTTTAAATTAAAAAATGCTGGCAAATATATTTCAGATACTAATTTGCACTTGCCACTGACAAGAGGAAGTATTTTCAGTGGAACTCAAAGCTTGACTAGTATTATACTAATCTAATTAAATGGATTTAAAAGAAATATTTTCAAATTCACCATACAATGTGTTGGCAGTTGCTTTCTATAATGCTATTGTCCCTTTTAATAAGAAAATTGAGGTTAAAATCAGTAGAGCTAAAAACTGAAATATTCTCAGTTTTGTTGAAGAAGTCTAAATCACGCTACTTCTCTACATATGATCCTTCAGTGATATTTTAACCCAATTGTGCAATACCTGCATTTGGGTACTTCTCACTTTTTTTTTTTTAATTTCACAATAGTCCATGTAAAAATACTATGTTCCAAGTTTATTTGATGTGTTTTGCTTATTTATTTTTGTTCAGATTCTCTGTTGCTCTGGAAAACAGTGATGTACATGGACCCGCCGGAAGGAGAATTTTCTTTACCTTTCCTCCTCTTTGGATATACCAGTGCCCTAAAGAACTGGTTCATCAGTCCAGTTAGTGTAGTTGGTTTTTAAAGGGAGTACAGGGGATTTGGCAAATAAGAGAATGAGAATATAGTAAACCTATACACACTAGAATATTTCTCAATGTAGAATTTAATGTTTTTTTGCATACAAAGGTTACATTTTAGAGTAAAAATAGACCTGTGACTGAAGGAAAATTAAGCACTTCATTTCCTTTTTTTGTTTGTTTTGAGACAGAGTCTTGCTGTGTCGCCCAGGCTGGTGTACAGTGGCGCAATCTCGGCTCACTGCAACCTCTGTTTCCCAGATTCAAACTGTTCTTCTGCCTCAGCCTTCCGAGTAGCTGGCATGCACCACCACGCCTGGCTGATTTTTGTATTTTTAGTAGAGACAGGGTTTTACCATGTTGACCAGGCTGGTCTCAGACTCCTGACCTCAAGTGATCCACCCACCTCGGCCTCCCAAAGTGCTGGGATTATAGGCATGAGCCACTACCCCCGGCCAATTCTTAGTGATTTAACAGGAAAAGAATGTATTTAATGTGTCCTTACGTTCATTTTCCTAAATGAGATGCTTTTTTTATTCCTAAGCTTTAACTTTTTTTCCTAAGCTTTTGTTTATTTCTAAGCTTCAACTTTTGATGTTATATGTTTAATATTTGATGTATGCTTTTCTCTTCTAGAAGCCACCAGTGTCCAACAGAAGGTCAATTTCTCTGAAGAAGGTATTTTATTTTTAAATATCATACAATATATATTTGAAGTCTTTTTCTTTACATTAGAAGCCATTCTGATAGATACTTAAGTGAGAACACAGCCGGGGACTGTGGCACATGCCTATAGTCCCAGCTACTCAGGATGCTGAGGCAGGAGGATCACTTGAGTCCAGGAGTTCTGGGCTATCTGTAGTGTGCTATGCCGACCGGGTGTCTGCACTAAGTTTGGCATCAATATGGTGGCCTCCCGGGAGCGGGGGACCACCGTGTTGCCTAAAGAGGGGTGAATCCATTCAGTTCAGAAACGGACCAGGTCAAAACTCCCGTGCTGATCAGTAGTGGGATTGTACCTGTGAATAGCCACTGCACTCCAGCCTGGGCAATGTAGTGAGACCCCATCTCTTAAAAAAGTGAGAACAGAAAATAATGTATTTTTCTTCATGAAAAAAAATTCATGCTTATCTAAACTGTTAACTGGGCAGAAATAATAGGAAAGATAGAATGAGTGATGACAGCCTTACATTTTAAGCATCTTTTGTCTATTTGGGTTCATTTTAAGCAAAGGTAATATTTGCTATTATGGTATTAAAATAATCAGTTTTCCAAATTCTCATAATCAGTTTATGTTTGAAAAGTACAGGAGTAAAATTTAGTTTTTGTTGAAGCCCAGCATAATCTGAGGGTGGTCACCTGCATAATAGAATGTGTGCAGGTGTGTGTACACCTACCCCTCCACCACCAACATACACACACAAACACACATCTGAATTTAACTACATACTAATTATATGTAGTTTTCCTCCCCATAAACTTTTTCCACTGTTTAATGCTCATCTGTTCATTTTTGACTCCACATTAAAGGCTTAGAATATAGTTTTTTAGATATTACTGTGAATATTTGTTTAGGAAAGTATTATGTGCCCCAGAGAACACAAATTGAGCTAAATTTTAGTTCATTTGGAACTTTGGGATTCAAAATAATAAGCATGATAAACAAACAGCAGATCTGTATCTGATAACCTAAAAGCCTTCTCTTAATGTTAAATTACTTGCTTGTTTTTTTAAAATTCAGATCTTTTGAGCATTAAAATAAGACTATACTAGTATATTGTTTACTTCTCTTTAGGAGAAACTGAAGAAGATGATCAAGACAGCTCTCAGAGCAGTGTCACTACTGTTAAGGCCAGATCCAGGGATTCTGATGAATCTGGAGGTAACGTTGCTTTATATACATATGACTCTTCTCATAGAACTATCTTTGGTATTCCATGAATTTGCTTTTTAAAAAAAAACTTTCAAATTTTTATTACTACTTTATAAAAAGTGAATTGTTCTTTTAATATTTATTAAAATTATTTCATGTATAGATCTGATTAATAATATGTCATGATATCTAAACAAATCACTTTTAGCTTTTTTTGATATTTGTGGAAAATAAGATATTTTTGTGCTCAAAGGAAGAGTAATTTGTTGTTTTTGAATTTTATAGAGAAACTAATCACATTGCCATTGGAACTGACAACACTATCTGGAGTGTTACTTTTAGGAAGTTTTCATTTAATTAGATAACTACCTTTATCTCTGGATTTTCAAATTCAAACCAAGTTATTAATTAACAAGTTCTGATTGTTTATGTGAATTTAAGTTCATTCAGTGAAAGAGTTGACTAAAGACTAAAGAGAGAGGCCGGGCGCGGTGGCTCAAGCCTGTAATCCCAGCACTTTGGGAGGCCGAGACGGGCGAATCACTAGGTCAGGAGATCGAGACCATCCTGGCTAACACGGTGAAACCCCGTCTCTACTAAAAAATACAAAAAACTAGCCGGGCGAGGTGGCGGGCGCCTGTAGTCCCAGCTACTTGGGAGGCTGAGGCAGGAGAATGGCTTGAACCCGGGAGGCGGAGCTTGCAGTGAGCCGAGATCGCACCACTGCACTCCAGCCTGGGCAACAGAGCGAGACTCCGTCTAAAAAAAAAAAAAAAAAAGGCCACTTCACCTGGAGTGCAGTGGCGCAATATCGGCTCACTGCAGCCTCTGCATCCCAAGTTCAAGTGATTCTCCTGCCTCAGCCCCCCGAGTAGCTGGGATTACAGGTGTGCACCACCACACCTGGCTAATTTTTGTATTTTTAGTAGAGACGAGATTTCACCTTGTTGGCCAGGCTGGTCTTAAAACTCCTGACCTCAGGTGATCCACCTGCCTCTGCCTCCCAAAGTGCTGGGATTACAGGCGTGAGCCACCATGCCTGACCTGTAATTCCCATTCTTTACTTCATCATTTCACTTCAAAAATAAGTACATAAGGCTGGGCACAGTGGCTCACACCTGTAATCCCAGCACTTTGGGAGGCTGAGGCAGGCGGATCACAAGGTCAGGAGATAGAGATCATCCTGGTTAACACGATGAAACCCCGTCTCTACTAAAAATACAAAAAAATTAGCCAGGCCTGGTGGCGGGCACTGGTAGTCCCAGCTACTCGGGCGGCTGAGGCAAGAGAATGACATGAGCCCAGGAGGCAGAGCTTGCAGTGAGCCGAGATCGCACCACTGCACTCCAGCCTGGGCAACAGAGCGAGACTCCGTCTAAAAAAAAAAAAAAAAAAAAAAAAAAAAAAAAAAAAAAAAAAAATAAAATAAAATAAAAATAAGTACATAACCTGGTTTTGTTTTTGTTTTTTATTTTTTTGAGACAGGATCTCGCTCTACCACCCAGGTTTGAGTACAGTGATGCGACCATGGCTCACTGCAGCCTCGACCTCCCAGGCTTAAGCAGTTCTCCTGCCTCATCCTCCCAAAGTGCTGAGATTATAGGTGTGGGCCACCATGCCTGGCATTATAAGCCGGTTGATGGGCATTTGGCATTCTGTGTATTTCCCACCCTTCCTCACTTTTCCTATGTATTCTTGATATAGAAATGGAGATTTGTAACACATTGGTAGTGTCTAGCCAGAATTCCTGGGTTCCATTCCTTCACTTTTTAGCTGTTTGCCCTTAGAGAGTTATTTAACTTCTGTGTTCCTCAGTCTCGTCATCTGGATTGTTGTGAGTGTTAAATTAATTCATATATGCAAAACACTTACCTGGCACATAGTAGACACTAAGTGCTATTACTAGTGTTCATACGTGTTACATGAACCTCTAGAAATCAGAGATTAATTAGACCATTTATATAGCCAATAGTTTGCTGCCATTGCTACCAGCATAACTATTTGGAAGTACATAAACCCCAGGTCCTGTGATCGTGCCATCGCACTTCAGCCTGGGCGACAGAGCGAGACTCCGTCTCAAAAAAAAAAAAAAAAAAAGGCCACTTCACCTTTTTGTGTCAATGTGTCTGTTTCCAAAACAGCAACCTGATCACTTTTAAACTAATTTAGTTATAAATTCTACTTTTATATGGAAACTTTTCTACTTAAAAACATATAAAAATTCTACTTTTATATGTTTTTAAGAAGAGTAGACTGAAAGCAAGGCATAGTGATAGGTACCTATAGTCCCAGATACTGAGGAGGCTGAGGCAGGAGGATCCCTTCAGTTCAAGACCAGCCTGGGCAATAACGTGAGACTCCATGTCTTTAAAAAAAAAAAAAAAGAGGAAGAAGAAGAAAGAAAAAGAGTATACAAAAATATTGCCCACTTGCAATAAAAATTTAAAGCAAAACTGGATACTGATGATTTCAAGATGATCCACTGTTGTAAACTTACAAAATGTTTCTCAACTCAAAGGTTTTATTATCTCCTTACCTTGTGGCATGTTTTGTATCATAACAATTTTTTAAGTGATTATTATCTAATTTTTTAGATGTGACGTGATACTTTAGAAACTTTTTTAACCTTTTTTTTTTTTGAGATGGAGTCTCACTCTGTCGCTCAGGCTGGAGTACAGTGGTGTGATCTTGGCTCACTGCACCTCTGCCTCCCGGGTTCAAGCAGTTCTCCTGCTCTCAGCCTCCTAAGTAGCTTGGATTACAGGCACGCGCCACCACGCCCAGGTAATTTTTGTATTTTTAGTGGAGACAGGGTTTCACCATGTTGGCCAGGCTGGTCTCAAACTCCTAACCTCAGGTGATCCGCTTGCCTCAGCCTCCCAGTGTGCTGGGATTATAGGTGAAAGCCACTGCACCCAGCCTAGAAACTTTTTAAAATAAATTATGCATCCAAGTTTTTAACCACCTGGGAGTTATCTGAATATTTTTGCTCTTTTTATTAATTTCTCACTGTTGTCTTATAAAATGTGCAGTTTAAAAGTTGAACATTATTTGTAGTGTACTGTTTTTTATTTTTTAGATAAAGCCACCAGATCATCTAGTCAATATACAGAATCATTTTGGCAGTCATCACAAAGTAAGTAAAGCTGTGTTTACAGTTCTACCTGTGAGCTTGGTCAAATGCTGTTCCTATTTTTGAAGATCCTCTTTTGAAATTTAATGTAAATATTGAAAAAGAGGAATAATGAATACTTAAAAAAAAAAAAAACTTATCCAATATATCTCTACCCCTTGACCTTATGACGCTTATGGAGTTGTTATTCTCTATATCCAAACCTGAATTTGAACTTAAAAAACAAGCAAAGGAACTACTGCTTCCTGTGATTTGTTGAATGTCTTTGCTAGCAATATAAATGGGTTGATTGTTTTTAACAGACTAATGTAGTAGTTTGAGCCTATTTATATGCACTTATTCTAATAAGGACATAAAATTTTTTATTAGTACAATTTCAACTCTGTTGTAAAAGTTTGGAAGGATGAATGAATAAGTGATAAAGCAAATGTAATAAAAAGTTAATGGCAAGCTCGGTGATGGGTATATAAATATTCATTTCAGTCTTACAACTGAAAATTTTTGTGATCAAATATTGAGAAAATATAACAAAAAAAGATTGGAAAGTAATATACCAAAATGCTAATAATGATTTGCTTAAGAATCATTGGTGACATTTTTTTTAACTTTATTATTTTCTTTTCTTTTTTCTTTTTTTGAGACAGGTTCTCGCTCTGTTGCCCAGGCAAGTGTAGTGGTGCGATCATGGTTCACTGCAGCCTCGAACTCCTGGGTTCAAGGGATCCTCCTGCTTCAGCTTCCTGAGTAGCTAAGACTATAGGCATGTGCCACCATGCCCAACTAATTTTTAAATTTTTTATAGAGACGGAGTCTCACTGTGTTGCTCAGGCTGGTCTCAAACTTTTGGGCGCAAGCATTCCTCCCACATCAGCCTCCCAAAATGCTGGGATTGCAGGCGTGAACCATTGCACCCAGCCACCTTTATTATTTTGGTACTACTGTTTTTTTCTTTTGACATTTTTAAATCAAGTCTCCCAAAATCTGAGTTATTAACCAAAAAGATCTTTGTATGTAAAAACCTTCAAGAACTTTTTTATTCCTTCCACATTACTTTCTTTTCTTAAGAAAAAGCCTTTGGAAGGCCAGGCATGGTGGCTCACGCCTGTAATCCCAGCACTTTGGGAGGCTGAGGCAGGCGGATCATGAGGTCAAGAGACCGAGACCATCCTGGCCAACATGGTGAAACCCCATCTCTACTGAAAACACAAAAATTATCTGGGCATGGTGGCAGACACCTGTAGTCCTAGCTACTCGGGAGGCTGAGGCAGGAGAATGGCCTGAACCCAGGAGGAGGCGGAGCTTGCAGTGAGTCGAGATTGCGTCACTGCATTCCAGTCTGGGCGACAGAGTGAGACTCCTTCTCAAAAAAAAGAAAAAATGAAAAAGCCTTTGGAAATATGTTTTATAATCATTGTGTTTATAGAATTCAATTTTATATTTTTCATTTTAATTTTTAGTAGGTTCTGGATTTGTGACTATAAAATGAGACATAAAATGAATTAGCTGCTGGAAAAAAATCAGTTGTGGAAAATTACTCTTTGAATTATTTTATGTATTTGCCCTATTTTACTCCAAATCTTTGATCTTTGGAAACTCTTAAATGTATCTGCCTGTATAAATGATGTTATACCCATGCGGTGAGATACTATTTAGGCTGGGGGCGGTGGCTCACACCTGTAATCCCAGCACTGGGAGGCTGAGGCAGGTGGATTACTTGAGGCCAGGAGTTCGAGACCAGCCTGGCCAACATGGTGAAACCCCGTCTCTGCTAAAAATACAAAAATTAACGAAGTGTGATGGTAGGTGCCTGTAATCCCAGCTACTTGGGAGGCTGAGGTAGAAGAATCGCTTGAACCCAAGAGGCGACGGCTGCAGTGAGCTGGGATCGCACCACTGCACTCCAGCCTGGGTGACAGAGTGAGACTCCATCTCAAAAAAAAAAACTATTTAGAAATGAAAAATGAGTTTTATATAATGAGTTATATATACTAATGAAAAGGTGATCAAGATGTATTTCATTGACTTTAAGATACTATTGATTTTATGTATCAATGAGAAAGAAAAACCATCCAGTTAAACTGTGCCATACCATTAATTAAAAGATACATCTGTAGATCAGAGGGCATTTTTTAAAAAGTATGTCTTAGAATTTGATGAAAGAAAGTATTAAAAGGTATGTATCCACTTTTTAAAAAGTATATTTTTAGTATAGACTGAAAACAAAGCTGAGAGAATATATATCTGTCTTACTTACCATAGTATTTCTACATTCAATGTTTTGCACATACTTAACAGATAGATGTTCATGAATTTTTAAATTACACATTTCTAGAATGGCACTTTTTTAAAACAGCTAGCATATGTTTGTATTCAGAAAAAGTTGAAAATAAATAAATGTAAATGGATACTTGTATTTATCATCAAAGAGTAACTCATTTCCTCAGGGCAGATCTGAAAATTCACATTGTTATAAGGTGTCATTTGTTAGTCATCCCATTGTGTCATTTTACAGTTATCCTTAAATACCTCCTCAAAACCTGAAGTAGCATGTTTTACTTCATAGCTACTTTGCAATGTCCATAAATCTGCATAGATAGTATATACCATTTCTCTATGGTATGGTATGTGGTATATGATATGGACTGCCTGGATTTGTATCTCGGCCCCACTACTTTTAGATATATAATTTTGGAAAAATTACCAATTTTGGTTTTCCCTTTTTTTTTTTCTTTCGACATAGAGTCTCGCTCTGTCGCGCAGGCTGTAGTGCAGTGGCGCAATCTTGGCTCACAGCAAGCTCCGCCTCCCGGGTTCACGACATTCTCCTGCCTGCCTCAGCCTCCCAAGTAGCTGGGACTACAGGCACCCGCCACCATGCCGGGCTAATTTTTTTTTGTATTTTTAGTAGAGACAGGGTTTCACCATGTTAGCCAGGATGGTCTTGATCTCGTGACCTTGTGATCTGCCCACCTTGGCCTCCCAAAGTGCTGGGATTACAGGTATGAGCCACCACATCCGGCTGGTTTTCCCTTATTTATAAAATGGGAACAACAATAGCATCTGCCACACAAGAATTAAGCAAAATTGGCTGGGCACGGTAGCTCATGCCTGTAATCCCAGCACTTTGGGAGGGCGAGGCAGGCAAATCATTTGAGGTCAAGAGTTTGAGACCAGCCTGGCAAACATGGTGAAACCCTGTCTCTACTAAAAGTACAAAACATTTAGTCTTGCGTGGTGGTGCACACCTGTCATCCCAAGTACTTGGGAAGCTGAGGCAGGAGAATATCTTGAACCCGGGAAGCGAGGGTTGCAGTGAGCTGAGATTGCACCACTGCACTCCAGCCTGGGTGACAGAGTCAGACCCTGTCTCAAAAAAAAAGAATTAAACAAAATTATACTCAATAGCTGATACACATTGACTGTACGTAATCATTGTTTTGATGGTACTAATCCTAAAACTGACTCCTTCTTGTTGTCCAATTCCTAAACATTTTGAAGTTTAGAAATGAGGGGAAAAGAAATACACACAGATTTTATATATATATATATAGTATATGCATGGTTTTTATATATATATACACACACACTTATATACTTACATGCTTGGAACTGATGTTTTTTGTTTATTGTTTGTTTTTAGTATCCACAGTAAACAAGCAAAATGTCTATGCAACATGTTTTTTGTTGTTATTTTCAAGTATTCTATGACCTTGTCCCTGTTTTCTGTTTCAGGTCGCAACTTCACAGCTCATGATAAGCAACCTTCAGTGCTGAGTAAGTAGTTGGTTGCCTGCTCTTTTTTCAGTCAATCAATTTTTTTTTTTTTTTTTTTTTTTGACGCAGGGTCTCACTCTGTGGCCCAGGCTGGAGTGCAGTGGTGCTATCTTGGCTCACTGCAAGCTCCGCCTCCCGGGTTCACGCCATTCTCCTGCCTCAGCCTGCTGAGTAGCTGGGACTACAGGCGCCCACCACCACGCCTGGCTAATTTTTTAAATTTTTAGTAGAGACGGGGATGGTCTCAATCTCCTGACCTTGCGATCCGCCCACCTCGGCCTGCCAAAGTGCTGGGATTACAGGCATAAGCCATCGCGCCTAGCCTCAGTCAATCAATTCTAACCTTGCCTCATTCTCCTAACAAAAGTCGTAATAAAATTTCAAGTCATTTTACCCCTCTTTACCTTTTTAATTCACCACGGATTGGTACTACCTGTAATAATTACTCTGTGATGTGGAAATGTGTTCAGGGCTATTTTACCACAATGTAATTTATACTGGAGTGATAATATATTATTTGCTACCTGCTTTGCTGTAGGAAGTGGTTCATCCTCCACTGATAGGTCCTTTGAAATTATTTTTTTACTTACAAACTATTGCTTTTATTTGTTTCTTCCCTCTTTTATTTTGTCTTTCTGATAGATTAATTTTTAGCATGGAATATGGTACTAAACTTTCAAACTATGGGAAATTATTTTTGTATATGTATTTGCTTCAGGCTCAGGATATCAAAGAACTCTTGAGGAATGGGCCCCCCAGACTGCAAGGATAAGAACTAGGATGCAAAGTAAGTAGATAAAGCTCTGTTAGTGAAATAATCTGAAGTGTATTGGCTATGTTTTTCTTGACAAAAATGTTTAGTTCTTCAGGTAAACATTTAGGTTGTTTGTGATTTCACTAATAAAGTACAGCTATGATTACTAGGTTAGTAATTTCTATTTGCTTGGACTGGCAGCACATGGGCTAGGTGTAGAATGTAAATACTGGCGGGAGCAAACCAGAGATTGATGAATCTTAACAAGCTCTCAGTTCTAGCAGCAATACAGTCTGTATACAATAATGAAATTCTACTCTTTTGACAATACTTATTTTTCGCTTTTAGCAGATTTTGGAACAGCTTTATATACTCATAATTTTATATAATAAAGGCTGAAATGCACAAGTTATATTTAGAAATGAAAAATGAGTTTTATATAATGA